TTTGTTTAATTAGCATCATAGATTTCCAGAACATTAAAACTATGTGCCACATTACCTCTGTAGGGACTAGAGGGCATTAGTAAATCCCTTTATAATCAACTCACATTGTTCATGCTCTATAGACAACAAGGGAAATATAAAAACAAAGCGGGAAATGTTTACCCCTTTTGTATACGTACTAAACTTCCAACTGAACCACGAATATTTTTTAAAATTCTTTTTATTTTCATTATCTTAAAAGTCTAACATCAGAATATTATAGAAAACCTTCTTAATTGATAACTAAAATTGTTAGTTACCTCGAACGTCGGCAATAAGCCATATACATCCCTCGGGCCTGCGGCCCTCGGGATGTATATGGCTTATTACCTCCGTTCTCGGTAACTAACTCTTACTTAAAAGCAAAGAACGAGAGGCAGACAGAGACCTCTGCAATCCGCTGGCAGGGTAGAGGTTTATTGCTCTTGAATGTCTCGACTTTTCCTATGCAGTATCTGTGAGTCAGCTATGCCCTGACTTAGAACCCAGCGCTTGTTTTGGGAGTGAAAAAACGGAGGTTTTCTTGAAAATTTTCATGTATAATACAATATTCCTCTCGTATCTTATCGACCCCTGAAACAACCTCTTGGTTGATCAAAGTCAGAGCACAGCAATTCCCGGAAAATTGATTTGAAAATTTAGCATATCGTGTTAGGCTTAGGCTGCGTTCTGCAGGGAGAAATCATACCAGCTGATCGAACACAGGCTAGTCGGGCTTTGCTGAGGAAAGAAAACCCAAGAATAAACCTCGCTCGGCGAATAAATAAAAAACGAGAGACCTTGCTCATGTCAAACGTCGAACTTCAAATAATAATGACATCAAAGAAGACCGCCTTGTTATCCATTGTTTCAGTTAGGTTCGGCTAACGCGAAGTTCGATGTCTGACCTGAGCCTTAAAAACTCTTCTCAAATCATGTTGCCAAGTCCAAACCCGAGACAAAAGGTGCAGCGTGAGGCCTTTGCCGGCACTAGCTACCGTTAATGGTGTTACTACTGGTGTAACGTACGTAGTAAGCCCAATTCTTCTTATGATAAGTATTGATAAAAGGGTAAATTTAACAACGTGAAGAGATGAAAAAACTTACTGACGTTTC